TTTTTTTTTTTTTTTTTCTGGAACCAGGGATTGAACTCAGGTCCTTGTACTTGCCAGGGAAGCACTTATTCTACTAAGCCGTCTCCCCAGTCCTCCATCTCCATTTTTGTTGGTGGTACACAATTCTAACATCTGCTTTAGACCCTATATCAGAGTCTAGGAGATAGTAATATAAAGGTTGACATTTACCATGAAAGGTTTTAAGTATTGTACCTTTATTAACACTTTTAATCTTTTTTTTTTTTTTTAATGTATTTAGTACAGGGCCTACAGAGTCTCACAGATCGGACTTGTAATGATCCTCCTGTTTTCAGCCTCCAAAGCACTGAAATCACAGGCGCACGCCACCACTTTTAATCTTGACAACAAATGCTATGTGATAAATTCTATCACCTGTTTTGCAGATTATGAAAATAAATACCTACAGCACACTTCCACTTTAACTCGGCTGCGTTACAGGGTGGATACACTTCGGAACCTGTTTTCAAACCAAGACAGCACTCAGCTGAATAGGTTTAACTGCAAATGCAAAGAATGATCACAAGAGACATACATGCTCCATTCCCAACAAGCCGCGAGAACTCTAGTACTAAGCCCAAAGCATCTTCGTTTCTAGGCGCAAACCCACCCCATGACATCCTTCGAAGCGTGGGGTCTGATGAATTAAGGCGCAGGAGACCCGTGTCTTTCCATAGTCAACGACCTGCCCACTCCTTTCCCAAAGTCGTGCCTGTCGGGCGGCCCTCGTCGTTCCGTGCGCCCTAGCGTTCTTTGGTGTCCTGGCACAGAGTGGTGAGCACAGAAGGACGTAGGGGAATGCAGAAACGACTGTGGGAGGGCGCAGTGGCCCGTGCTGGGGACACGATGTGGCGGCCCGGGAAACACCAAGAAGGAAGCGTCTTCCCCGCCCACACGTAACAGAGCATGAGCTGGGCTCCCAGGGCGTCATCACTGTGCAGCCCGGAACGTGGGAATAGCAGCCAGGCGAGGACGTCCCCTGCAACGGCAGGAGTACGTGGGCCCGTGAGAATAGCGATGGTACCAGCCATGCGAGGCTGCAGCCCAACTCCTGGCCAAGTACCGCCGAAAGCGACCAACAGCACGCAGCTCCCGATGCCGCCGGACCCGCCCCGCGGGCTGGGAGGCTGCCAAGGCGCGGGCGCGCCAGAGGGCGGGGAACGGACGGACCGAGCCCAGAACCGGAAGTGCCTCCCGCCGGAACTGCCTGGAGGTCCCGCCCCCACAAGGAACTTCGGTTGCTGGGCAACCGGTGCAGGCACAGCCTGCTGGTTCTGGGCTCCCCCGAGCAAGCTGGCTGTGGCTGCCACCTCCAGCGCTGGCAGCCTCCATTCCCCTCCATCTCTTTGCGTGCCGCTTCTGCTCGCGTCGCTAAACCCTTGCCGTTGGCACTACTTAACAGCTCTCCGCCTCCCACGTTTTCTTAGTGCCCACCTGCTGCAAAGCCCAGCTCCAGCACGGGCGAGGCAGTCGGATTCCGGACCCCGCCCGCCGGACCGCAGCTCTTCAGCCATGGCCACCTACACCTACACCAGCCGACCCCGGGCCCTGACCTGCCAGCGCCGCCGTTATCGGGACAGCCTGTTGCAGCCGTGAGTGACCAAACCAGCCCGTCTCCACTTGCACTCCGTCCTGGGGCCAGGTCCTCGCAGAAGCTGCCCACGCTGCTTTCTCTTGTCTACACTCTGCCAAAAGAAATTTCCTGCAGCCAATTACTCCTGGGTGCAGAGATGAAGCAAAAAGGAGCATGGGCGGCCTGTCTTAGTTCACTTTGGTGACACTGAGTTGATGGCGTGATCCATAACACGTACACAGATTGCCTTATTTCACGAAGTTTGGGTCAACTAGTGCATATGGAGGACTAGCCTCACAGCAGATGCCGCTGGAAGCATTCACAACATTTTCTTAATCCACAGAGCTGCCAGCTTGGTTTCATAACTCCATTATGCATATGAGGAACTGAGGCACAAACGTGTCAGACCCAACAAGTACAAATGACAGCCTCATAAAGGTCTTTCCACACTTGTTGTAGGGCAGGACTTAGGTTATTATTCCATGCATGGCGGCAAAAATTGTATTTTTACACTGATGAATATTTGCAAATGTTCAAACATCTACATTTAGAAAAGACCATACCCCTATTGCGAATCAGCAGAATTTCTTAAGAAGGCAAGCTGCAGGGGCGGGGGAGATGGCTCAGTGGAATAAGCGCTTCCCTGGCAAACGTGAGGGCCTGAGTTCAGTCCCGGGTCCGAAAAAAAAAAAACAGGCGCAGGCCATAACCCAGGGGCATAAGTTCCTGCCTTAGAGGTGCGAGGTCCTGAGTTCAATCTGGAGTACCAAAAAAAAAAAAAAAAAAAAAGAATAAGAAGAATATCACTTAATACCAATTGTTGAGGTGGTCACTGAACATCAGAATGTAACTAGTTTTTGATGTTCATTTTACACACCAAATCTAAATTTATAATTATCTTATTCTGACAAAGGTTTTTTTAGTATATTTCTAACACTGAGGAGAAAACAAAATAGAAAATTTTAATTGGAAGAGGGATTATTTCTTTTATGAAGATTCAATGTAAAAACTCTTTCCAAAAACACGTTTTGGTAAAATTAAGTGATTGCTCATAAGTCAATGTCATTAAATCATTGTTATTCAATAAATTAGAAATAAGAATGCATGCTGATTCATTTATGACAACTGTATGCTTAGTGGCACGGTCTGATGCAATAGGAAACATGTAGTAACAAACTTGAAATGGGGAAGTGGTAATTAAATTCTGAGTTTGCCTTCCAGTCATCCAACTGGATATACCTAAATAGTTTACAGAAGCTTTCTGAGCTAGACATAAAATAAAATTGGTATGTGGCTCATTCCTGAAGCTTTGCAAATGGATGGGATCCTCTAAGGAATAGGCAAGGTAGAGCCTTGAGGACTCCTCTAGTACACAAGGAGCCACAAAGCCTGAAAAAGAACAGCCAGGGAAGTAGCAAAGCACAAGCAGAGTGGGTGAAGAAAGAAATTAAAATTTGAAAAAGCAAAGAAAAGAAACACAGAATATGTTGGCATCGCAGGGAAATAGCACTGACATGAACAAATGCCCCGTGGAGCTGAATACTGCAACAGGCCGAGTAAAGTGAGACGGGAAGCATGTCAGGACGTGGCCTCAATCTGTGAGAAGCTAGCACAGTATGCATCATTTCTGCTAGTGTGCTGCTAGTGTGGGTTGAGGTCTGGCTTCACAGTTATTAATAGGTTATCTTTCTAAGGACTTAAAATATCAGCTGTGTATTTGTGGTTTTGACCATTGATTATTCTGAGCCCTGAAATTAAAATTTTATTAGTAGTTCCAACAGTACCTTTTAAACATCTTTGGATTTAAAAAACAATGAGGAGGGCTGGTGAGATGGCTCAGTGGTCTAAAGCACCTACTTAGAACAAGCTTAGCAAAGCACAGGGACCACGGTTCAATCCCCCAGCACCACATGCCAGCCAGCCCCGCCCCCTCGTGGGCTGAGCTGGCCACACACACACACACACACACACACAAATAAAATTTAAAAATAAAAAAAAATAAATAAAAAACAATGAGGAATCTGACTTGTCATATTTTTAGCCTGATTATTTTCTTTGCATAGCTTTTCAATACTCAAATCAAGCTTTTCTGAGTCCTTTAAATTAAGTTCTTTCTCAGATGGCCATTTTCATATTTATTAAGTGAAATAAGATTACAGATCTACAGGCTAAGTCCAGCTCTTCCACTTACTAGCAAGATGACTTGGAGTCCTTTTCCTCTTGTGTCAAATAGGAATTATCATTCCCAAATCAAAGCTTGTTGTGAGCAGTAAATAAAATAGCAATGTAAAGGAGCCTGGCATACAGTAAGCATTGCACAAATAGCTGTTTGTCACCTTGTTTTATGGACTACACTAAAACATACATCTGAATTTATCTTAGTCTAAATCATATTAGAAATGAATTTTCTTCAGAGATAACATAGATAAAATATTTACTTAGAACTTGTTATTTTACAGAGAGGAAGAGCCTGTGCGTTACGGAAACATAATGTATGACAGGCGAGTGATCCGAGGCAACACATACGCGCTACAGACAGGGCTGCTGGTAAGCACGTTCTGAGTAGTCTTAACAGAGCCCTCTCACTGTCCATGGGGAAGCATCACTTTGTGTATTTGTGTTCATTTCAGAGCCATTGCAGACTAAAACATCAATAAAATGAAGTAAAATTGGATTACTAGGAAAATTGAATTTTAATAAAAGATATGCAGGGGCCGGGGAGATGGCTCAGTGGAATAAGCACTTCCTTGGCAAGCGCAAGGGTCTGAGTTCAATCCCCGGTTCTGCAAAATACAAAACAAAACAAAAAAGATATGCAGGGACTGTTGATGTATCTGGTACAGTGCTTACATAGTGTCCACAAGGCCCTGGGGTTTTGTCCCCAGCACCATGGAGGGGAGGGAAATAAACCACAACAAAAATACACACACACACACACACACACACACACACACACACACACACACACACTTTCTCCAGTATACCTACTAGAAGCTTGAGAGAGGCCATTGTTTAATACAGGCATACAATCTCAGTTCTGGAGATTACAGCATTGTTGGTTATAGAACAATATGAATGTACTTAATGATATTGAATTCTTTACATTATATACATTTTACCACATTTAATAACCTTAAAAGCCCTAATTCTTTATTAAATTTAACAGAACTGGAGCAAACTGCTCTGGAATTTTCTGTAGTTGTTGTAGACCTATTTAAACATTCCATAAAGCAGCACTAGTCTGAGGACCACACCTTGAGTAGCTCTGTCTGCTACATTTAGATTTGTTTAGCTGTGTCACACCTTAATTATTATACTATTATAGCTTACCATAAATATAAATAATATCATTTCATCAAAAGTCAGAGTTATACTTAATTCAATCAGTACATATTTACTGAAATAGGTCCTGTTCTGGGTACCTAGGAGACAGCAGTGACTAAGACATGGTATCAGATTACACTTAGTGATTTCTTTTTTTTTTTTTTGGCAGAACCAGGGATTGAACTCAGGCCCTTGCACTTACCAGGCAGGCGCTTATTCTGCTGTGCCATCTCCCTGGCCCACTTAGTGATTTCTTGACACAGAAATGAAATCTAGTTCATCTATAAGCAATGGGGGACATGGAAGTACCTACACAAAATGGTCATAAATGGAGTGTCCGTCTGAAGCAGTCACTCCCATAGCTCACTCTGCATCAGGATCGCTGGGAAAACTTAATACAAACATGTATGCTTCGCCCCTACTCTGCATCTCCTACATAAGAACTTGTATGGTAGGACCCAAGAATATGAACTCTTTGATACAAGGACTCACTACGCAGTTCAGACTCATAGTGATCCTCCTGTCTCAGCCTCCCCAGCACCAGGATTACAGCTGTGTGCCATGCAGGAATTCACGCATTCCTTCCCTCTTACAGCTTGGGGGTTTGGGAGAGAGTGCAGTAACAGAACAAGCAAACAAATATAAGATGCAAACCAGAAAGTAAACTGGCTAGGAACTTTTTAACTTGAGTAATCTCATGTTCCTCACTTGAGGAAGGAGTCCCTGGGTTTTGTTTTTGCCTCTTGCCTCTCTTGTTTAGTTAAGCCTCCAGAAAAACCAAAAACCTGAAACTGCCAATAGGCACAACCCCCAGAAAGGCCTGCTTCCTCTTGCCAAAAACTAGGAAAGGGGCAACCTTGAAGATCAGAAAAATACTTTCGCAGGCCGGTCAGATAGCTCAGCGGACTAAAGCTCCTGGTTAGGCAGATGTAGAGACCCAGGTTCGATCCCCAGTGTGCCTTGCCAGGGCGTGCTGAGACAGTAACTAAGACTGGGCTGGCATGGTGGTGCATGCCTGTAATCCCACCACTTGGGAACCTGAAAACAGGAGGATCACTGTGAGTCCGATCTGTGTAATGTGGCCCTGTAGACCCTGTACTAAATATGTAATAATAAAAAAATATACTTTTGATAACACTGCTACCCAGCCAAAAGTAATGGAAAAACTGAACCACTCCTCACAGGGCCAGGGAGGCTAGGAGGAAGCTGCACTTCTGTCCCCACGTGGCAGCAACAAGACAGTGCACATTAGTCCTCTGCTTTGCCCCTTGAGGCGGCGTCAACAAGGGTGGAGAAGGAAGCTGAATCCCCCTCACCCATGGGCAATGAGGTAGTAAGAAATGGCACTGAGCCCTTCTTTTTCTGGTGGTATCAGCGGAAGCAGCGAGGAGAAACATTTTCGGTTCTGTCCAGCAATGAGAAGGAGAACCGAGAAGCAATGAGAAGGAGAACCGAGATTGGATGAAGTAGTGTTGGGACAGTGCTTTGATCGCCCTAGAGGAAAAAACAGAGAGACAGACAGACATGGCCCATCTTAGGGAGCTAAAGAGTAATAACAAAGGGTCTGCTCTCATGTTATTGGAATCCAGAAAGACAAGAGAAAAAGTATGGGATGGAAAAAAATATTTGAAGAAATGCTGCCTGAAAACTTTAAAATGTGGTGAAAGATCTACATGTTCAAGAAGCTAAGTGAACCCCAAAGATGAAAGAGGCATTCTAAGCCACAGCAGAACCAATTTCAAAAAGCTAAAAACAGAAATCTTGAATTGGATAGCAACTGTGAGAACAGTGTGAGAACAGTGTGAGAATAGACCAGCCAAGACGGCCAGGCTTATGTAAAGGCAACATCATGTGAATTTACTGTGCCTGCATCTCAGGTAAACAGGGTGAAAAGGCCATCTATAAGGACCAAAGATGAGCAGGCTTTTTACAGAGCTTGAAAGAAGGAAGGGCATTTGGTGGGAAGATCATAGTAAACATCAGTGGTCCAGAGTTCTTTAAACGTCCAGGGCCTCAGTGGACAAAGTCCTCAGGGCATGTGGTATAAATGTTTGGGTGTCTTCAGATAGCCCAGTGCTTGGAAGATTTCATGCTCCAGCTTAACTCTTTTTGTTTGTTTGTTTGTTTGTTGTACTGGGAATGGAGCTCAGGACCTTGTGCTTGCCAGGCAGGCATTTATGCCACTGAGCTATATCCTTAACCCTCAGCTTACCTCTTTTTGCGACATCCTGTGTTTGCTGAGGGCACTAGTGCTGAGTCTCTGCTGAGAACAATGCCTATTCGGGCAAGCAGGATGGGTGCTGAGGGAATCATGCTCGAATTGAGTCTGACAGGAATGACATGTTAATTGTGGAAAACCAATGGTTTGAATGACAGCAGAGTTCTCACCTGAAACATGAGGCCAATCCTAAAAACAAAAGACCATCAAACTGTAATTCTAGTCCAAGGAAGTGTGGCATTGGAAACTATGTCAAGGGGGATTGAGACTGCTACACCTCAGGTGAAGGGGAGTTAAACTTCTATTTAAAACTGTAGCCAGGGAGGTAGCTCAGTGGCATAAGCTCCTGCCTGGCAACTGCAAGGTACTGAGTTCAATCCAGGGTACCACCAAAAAAAAAAAAAAAAAAAAGTGTGTCTAGGCAACATACAGTCATAGGCATTCACTGGGCCTACAGAATGGTAGGAAAAAGAAAATAAATGAGAAAGAAAAACAAAACCAAAAAATGGCAGACTAAGCCCTAACATAGTAGTAATTAAATGTAAATGGGTTCTACATAAAGCAACCAAAAGCTCCAACAACAACGATAATAATATAATTCAACTATATATTATCTGTAAAGAAATCATTTCAGTTACTACAGTAGGGGCTAGCGATATGGCTCGGTGATGCAGCACCTGCTTGGCAAGTGAAAGGTGTTCAGTTCAGTTGCTGGTACCTTAAAAAACAACAAAAAAGATCAATTACAACAGTGTAGGTAGGTTGAAAGTAAAAAGATGAAAGAGGATACACAGTACCAACAATCTTTTAAGTTACTATGGCTGTATTAATATAGATTTCCAAACAAACAAGACTGTGAGCACAAAGAGGAAGCTTATATGATGTTAAAAGGGTCATAATATATCAGGAAGATAAATCCTAAATTCATATATCCCAGACAACAGAGTCTCTAAGTACATGAAGCAAAATCTAAAAGAACAAAAAGAAAGACATATACATACAAACCCACAATTTTAGTTAGGGACTTCAACATCCCTCTTTAGTTAGGGACTTCAACATCCCAGCAACTCATAGCTGTCAGGAGAAGGAGTGTTCTATAGAGATGATTTCCTGAGTCATAGAACAAATGTAAATATATTTAAAAAGACTGAAATCATGCACAGTGTGGTTCTCTGATAATAACAATGACTAGAAAATAATAACAGAACAGGAAGATGTTCATACACTGGGAAATTAAACACGTCTACATAATTCGTAGGTTAAAGAGGACAATGTATCAAAATTTGTGGGATGTAGTTAAAGCAGTGCTAAGAGGAAGAAAAGGCAAGGCCACAAATCAATGACCTAAGCTCCCATCTCAGTGAACTGGATAATTAAGAGCAAAATAAACTAAGGGCAGGTGGAAGGAGGAAATGAAGAAAAAAATAAATAACACTGATTCTCTGTACAGATCAAAGAGGTTGAAAACCTCTAGCTAGACTGACTTTAAAAAGATTAAAGACAAAATAACAGGAGTGAATATCGGGGGATATAACTGTAGGTTCTGTAGCCAGTAAAAGATGAAAAGGATAATAATGCAGCATTACTAAAGAGACAGATGAAACTAAAAGTGCTTTTTTACTGCTGTCTACTGTTACACTGAACACAAATATTTCCCCTCTGTGATCCGAAGGTTTTCCTCTACATATCAACCAAGTAATTCTCCCCCTTCTTCAGTGGACACCCACTAAGTAGCCTTTAATTCCATTTAATTCTTTAACTGCCTGTCTGAAGACAGCATCAGATCCCACAGGTTAGGGACTCAATGCCACGAAACTACCTCTTCTACTTAAAATGCCAGTGGCAAGCAGAGAATGTGACCTATACTTCTGACCAACTGCTATAAGTTGGAGTTCCCATGGTGCCCTGCTTGGTGTCATTTAATTTGGTACAGTGATTCAGAACTCAGGGAAACACTTTCTCACATTTTCCAGGATGTTATAAAGTATATTTCAAAGGATATGGA